ATTACATATGAAATTGGTTGCTCTGTTTTCTAAAATTCCTGGTGTTTTTTTACCCTAGGCTATGTGTTGGTTGGCCAAATTTTTTGCTATTTGGTATTGCTATAAGCAGCTCAAATAGATATAAAAAGGTTTTTATATTGTAATTTAATCTCAGGAAAACTTTTCTTTGATATTGATTTGTTGTCATTTTTCTGTAGGAAAACGGGGAAAGGGAAGGGAAATACTATGCCATAAATGTTCCTCTCAAGGATGGTATTGATGACACTAGCTTTACAAGGCTGTTCAAGACGGTATGTTATATTTCAGAGGCCACCAAGCTGATACAAACTATAAGATATGTTGTACCACAAGCAATGTTAAATTCTTGTCTTTTATTTCAATGTTGCAGATCATTTCCAAGGTTGTTGAATTTTATCAGCCTGGAGTGATTGTTCTGCAATGTGGTGCAGATTCACTTGCTGGTGACAGATTAGGCTGCTTCAACCTCTCTATCGATGGTGCTGGTTTCTGTTATTTGATCATATTGTCTTATTATTTCTGGTAATTTTGTTGGCATAAAAGTGCATTGTAGATTTTTGGAAGACTAAGGAATGATAGTTGTGTTGATGATGTTACAAATAACAGGGCATGCAGAGTGCGTTAGGTTTGTGAAGAAATTTAATCTTCCCTTGCTGGTAGGTTTCAGGGAAATTATATGTTTTGGTGGTTATGTTGTTTATATGAACTACACTGTCCTGACAGATCTTGTTATCAGGTTACTGGAGGAGGTGGCTACACAAAGGAGAATGTTGCTCGATGCTGGACTGTTGAAACAGGAGTTCTTTTAGATACTGATTTACCAAATGGTATTCTTCCTAGCTGCTGTGGCATGTCATGGTTAAAACCTACTTCCAGTTATTTTCCTTTTCCAGTCCACTATATTTCTTGATGCCTTTCATTGTTGTGCTGCATGTTTATTTTTCCCTCATACAGAGATTCCAGAGAACGAGTATATCAAATACTTTGGACCAGATTATTCCTTGAGGATTCCAAATGGACATATAGTACGTTTTTTGCTCTTAACTTTTGCCTCGTATAGTAATATAATCTTTATTCCGAATCATAGGCCTTATTCATATTTTTGTACTGTCTCAAAACAGCAGGCTGTCTCTTGATATATATATATATATTTGTTAAACTTCAAACATTTCATATTACCCTTAATTATAAATTTATAATGTGTCATGGTGGAGTAAAAAAATAATAATGACCCTTAATCATAGTTATCAAATGTGACCTACTTTCTCCGTTTATTTTATCATGTTTGACAACGCACAAGTTCAACAATTAATATCTCTAAATAATTAAATATCAATGAGTAATATCTTAAAAAGTTTGACATTATGAGTATGTACATTGAGAAGATTCTGATTAGGTCCCACATGATAACTATGATATATGTTACATAGATTCTTCATTTCACCTCTAGTACCCGTGTCAAATCCTCGACATTTGGACATGGGTATGACTCTTGGACACTTCACAATATCATGGAAGTTTTTCACAAAATAACCGAGAAGGAAGTTTGGACATGTACCCGTGTCAGACATGGGTACCCGAGGTCCCGAGTCCATGTAACATAGACTATAAATCACAATAAATAGGCTTGGTAGATTTTTAGTCTGGTGGACTTGTTTTCTAATTAGTAAAGCTAATAGACAATACTTTATTAATATGTTTGGTTTGGTTTGGTTTCATTAACCAGGAGAACCTGAACAGTAAATCATACTTGACAACAATCAAGATGCAAGTTCTCGAAAATCTTCGGTGTATCCAACATGCACCTAGTGTACAGATGCAAGAGGTCAGTAGGAAGAATACTTTTATGATGTTTCTACTTTAAATGTAGTTAGGTTATTAATTCTATAAAAGTTGCTTGCATGTTTACAAATGTGTTGCTAGAAATTTTATCCGTGGAATATGTGTTTACTTTGTAAGCGTCTTTCAGTTGTGTGCACATTGGGTTGATGCAAAGATCTGTAATTAAATTATGTTACACATCTTCTTGCTCATGATGGAGGGTTACAAACTTACAATGTGTCAGTAGTCATGTTGGATAGCATTGTGTTTTGCTTAAGAAATCGGCTGCTATCTGAACAATACATCAATTCTGGCAAAAGTGAGCTGATCAGATTCAGTTTCATTGCAGGTCCCCCCTGATTTTTATATTCCCGACTTTGATGAAGATGAGAATCCTGATGAACGCATTAGTCGTGAGTCTCACAAAACAATTTTTTACACTACACACCCATTTGTACTTGATCTGATGACTTGTAATCTTATTTTTGCGGGTTTCTTATTTTATCTGTGAAATCATATTTTCAGAGCACACACAGGATAAGATGATCCAGAGGGATGATGAGTATTATGATGGTGATCATGACAATGATCAGAACATGGACGATGTATAGGATGATGACCTAATTTAAAACTTTTGGAGTGAATTAGTGCTGATATTGTGAATGTATATAATTAGGTTTCAGTTAGAGTATACCCTGTTCATGTAATAGGCAATTTCAGTAGCTTCCGAGTTGGCTTCATTAAAATCCATGTTTTGTCACTGTAAAATAGAAAGTCAGTACCTTTGTTTGACAGATTTTTGAGAAGCAAACATTTTTTTTTCGCGGATTTAGTTCATATGTATGCGTAATGAAAGTTTTTCCTGTGCTCTTTGGCTGTCTAATTATACTTTTGGCCACTTCTCTATTCTTGGTACGAAATTGTTGAACCAAGTTCTTTGTATTGTTTATCTGTCCCATCTCTCTTTATCATGGACTTTGGCAATGCATAGGAATATCAATGTGGCGGGTTTGATTTAGGTCCAAATGAAGTATTTCTTTGTATTATATCTTGATGAGAAAAAAATGACGTTGAAATAAACCGAATAAAAACCTCAAGTCTTGATTCATGTTATTTCCTTATGAATGAAAGGTTCCATTAAATTTACTATGGATAAAGCCAGGAACTTCTCCGCATCTACCTATGCTGCCGTCAAAAGTAAGCTCGTATGGATCAAGTGGTAACAATTTTATATTCGGCATAATGCCATGACCGGCTAAAGTACGAGCCTACTCATTTAGTCATTGCACCCATGGAGTCCGAGTTAAGAGCTATGAAGTACTTCGTATTTAAGAGATCTATTGTCATATTCATTATACAACCATCCATTACACAATCCGTTACTTGTTAATCAATTGCAACATACTCTGTATTTCTTTTTAATAATCTATAATTTAGATTTCGACCATTTATATATTTAAATAGATATAAGTAAAAGTTGTAAAAAGGATAAAAATTATTTTATTTATTTTGAAAATACATGATTAGAAAATTAACAAATTGCCACATGATAATAAAATTTTCTAAATCATTGTAAAGTTAAACCGCTTTTAAACATTCAAAAGGTATGTCACATAAGAGTAGAAATTAAGTAAATACTAGGTTAGATTCCGTGTCAGGTACAGTTTTTCACTCTTAGTTATGGAGTATCAATTTAAAATTGTATTTAAGTATAAAAAATAATTTATTTGGTACAAAATCTATTTCTTGTTTTATCCCAAATCAAGCAACTTAAAACATATTTTTTATTCAAGCTTTCTTCTATTTTGAACCTTGATGGCATTTTTTATTTTATTTTTTTATTTCACTTTTGATAATTTTTCATTCACCAATTATGTTAGGTTGAAAGATATATATATTCATGAACTTTTTACTATAAATAATCATTATACATTAAAAAGTTATTACTTAGATAGGAATTTATATAAATATATGGTAAGATATCTAAATTGGTAAATATATTTTTGTACGAGTTTTTCCTAAATTTTGGAAGAAAATATATTGTGTACATTCACTATCAATTTTTTAAAAGTATTTTTTTTAAAAAAAAAATACATAGGATACACCATAAGATGACATGTGTCATTGCTAGTATGTCTTTTAGTATATAATTATTGATTGATTGATTGATTTAACATAGTTTACATTGTGTTTATTTATATTTGTTTTTATGTTATTCTTTTTTGTATGGAAAGGATCGATATGCTTAGATTTGTTACTTAATTATTTCCCTTACTTATTACTTAGTACTCCGTATTAGTTTCCATTAAAAAAAAAATAAAAAATATTAGTACTCCATAATAGTTATCTATGAACTAAATGTTGTTGTACCATGTATATTTTAATAATATTAATTGTATAATATTTTCTACTACAAAATTAAAAACTTTAAATAGTGGACTATATGGCTCGTACAATTTTAGTAAAATCAATAAAATTCAGTATCATTTATACTCGTACAATTGCTCCATGTTGATGCCTCATTTGTCAAAGTTGGTGAACCAGCAGATATTGCAGGGATTATTAGGAATCATGACGGTACATGGTGCATTGGGTTCTATCAATGAGTCTATGCAAAGTCATCCCTTATGGCAAAATTGATGGCAATTAGGGAGGACTTGAAATTGTTGAAGCAGAAACAACTACATCATACCATTCATTTACGTACTCTGATTGTTCTAATGCTGTTGAAATGCTTCATGATCATGATTTGGCTCTTAATATGTATAGCAATGTGGTTAATGCTTGTAGGGAGCTATGGTGGCCGGAGATGGAGGTACAAATTAATTATTTAGGAAGACAATGGAACAAGCTAGCTCACATCATTGCCAAGACCTCAAGATGTTTAGATTATGAAATCAATGTAACTAGGACGCTTCCCGATCCCCCTTGTTATTGTATGGACCTCTATTTAGAGGATTATATTACACTTTGTAACGTTGGTTTATGCTAATTAAGTACTTTTTTCACCAAAAAAAAAAAAAAAAAAAAGAGAGAGAATACTAGTTTATTTTTAAATTTTTAAATTAAAAATAAAATTGTCCTTCAATATTTTTTTTATTTATTTTTTTATTTTAAAAGGGCATACGCATAACAACCTGGGTATATAGACTATAGAGGTTAACAAAAAAAAAAAAAAAAAAGTTATAGAGGTTCGAACCTACCGATGTGCAAAATTTTTGCAAGTAAAAGTTATGAACGAGTGTTGGTCTCGCGCCTGAAATCAACGAAGTAAACGCGTGGCGCCGTATAAATACGCAACTTGTTCAACCTTGCTTCTCCTTCTCCTCCAATCTAGGGCATCACTTCCGGCAACCACCGCCGTCTTCGGCGATTCTGTCTCCATTTCCGAGGTCAATCCCCTTTTTTCTTTGTTTTCCTATTTTTCTTTTTTGAATTCTAAACCCTAGTGATTGTGGTATACTGTTGATCTCATTTTATTGTTTGTGATTTTTGGGAAATTAATATGTTGATTTGTTGAAGAAATTTATATTATTTGTGGGATCGCATGGTTTTTGATTGGGGTTTCTGAGTGTAGAATTTGCAATTAAGTTAATTTTTAGTTTGCTAAGGAATTGATAAAGATCAATAATCTCGTTTGTTTGTGCAATATAGTGATATGATGTCGACCGAGTAGGAGAAGATCATTGCAATTTTGTTAGGGTACATTAGTAATGTGTTGACCGAGTTTTGAGGAGATTATTGCAATTTGTTAGTGTAAACTAGTAATGTGGTGACTTAGTACGAGGAAATTAATGCTATTTTGCTAGTGAATTAATATATTATATGGTGATTGAGTAGGAGGAGATCGTTGTAATATGTTAGTGTGAACCCGCCGCTGGTCATATACATATAGAACGCTCCGCCCGCCACCGCATATGTAGAAAAAAGGGGAGCGGGGAAGGATGAACATTTTACTTTGCCACATGAGGTGGCGAGTTTGGCAGTATTTGGTGACCGAGTAGAAGGATATAATTAGTAATGTGGTGACTGAGTAGGAAGAAATCATTGCAATTTGTTGTGTAAATTAGTAATAGGTGACCGAGGAGGAGAAAATCATTGAATTTGTTAGTGTAAACTACGAATATGGTAATTGATTAGGAGGTGATCATTGAATGATGCTCGATTATCCGACCAGATTATCATATCGAGTATGAGTGACTGCACTCAACATCAGCAGCCCTTGAAGAAGCGCAAAAAGAATTTGAAAGCTAATCTTTCTGAACAAGAAATTAGTAGGATTAAGAAGAGAAAGACAGCTTTTTTTTGTTGCTTGAATCGCCTGCAAATTATCCAACTCAAGGTTATTGATTTTTAAATTTCTAATTGATTTTATTATTTTTCTATTTTGTTTCTCATTTTTGTGTGTTCATTGCTGGGTACTTGGGTGTAAACACGGTTTTTCAATGAATTAGACTGAACAATTATAAGGTCCCTTTTCACTCAACTTATTTTGACTTACTTATGACAAAATAAGTTCAAATAAATTTATATGGAAGATGATTTGCTACATTGAACTTACGCTAAGATAAATTAAGGTTGTTCAAAAAAAAAAAGCAGCTAAGATAAACTAAGATTATCTAATAATTTTGAAGGGTGAGGGTGGATGTGTTAACATACTATTGATCCCAAAACTTGGGGTTAGTATTGAATATACAAAAGGTGAAATTTTTATTTGAAGTACTTGTTACTTTGTTAGTGCTAACATCCACTTTACATCATTTTAATGCTAGATTTGATAACTACTGAATATTAGATTACCCCTGTTATCCGATCTGAATAAATACTGGCTTTATCTTAGTGCAATAATTGAAATCAATTGCAAATTAAATTGTGCTCTATGTTGTTTTGCTTTTGGTTATATATTCTTTACTCCCCAAGATGTTTATCTTACCTACTCCGTATGATTGACTAGGACATAAGTAACAGGATATCTGATGACAGGTTTGAATAATATGGGATAGGTTTGATTAGAGGTGAATAAGCTCTTTTTGTATTTCCCTAAGCTTGTGCTCCATGTTGCTTTGGTTTTGCCATTTACTTTTTACTCTTATCCTTAACATTATTCTTTCAACTTTCTTAGTAATTGTCTCGCTTTCAATTTTGCAAAGAACGGTTGCAATCGTGTTGTTAGACACCTAATATCCCCCATGTACCTGGACTGCCAGACCACTCACAGAATAGAATACGAAAAGTTTAATTGAGAATATCATTACTTTTTTTTTCACTGGATTTTCTTAACTGTAAACCTCTCCTTGTCCTCAAACTAGATTTTATTGCTACAATTGTGTGTGAAAGATTAGTGTTATTAATTTTTTCCTTGTTGAAATTAGGTTGGACAACTTGTAGCATGTAAAGTTTGACATCTGAGGATAGTGAGAGAGAAGATGGGAAAAGATTCAAAGAACTGCAAACAACCTTCTCACCGGCTCTTAAAGGATCAAGCAAAGAATCGAATTGAGGGCCTTCAATCAGTGTTCAATGAACTTCAGGGTGCCATGAAGGAGAGTCGGGTCGGTGATGTTGCTACTTTGGAACAGCAAGTTAAGCAAATGCTTTGTGAATGGAAAGCTGATCTCTCTGAACCAACTCCAACTTCTTCAGTGCCTGTGTGTATCTCTCTCTCTCTCTCTCTCTCTCTCTCTAGATTACAACAACAACAATAATCACAAAGCCTAAGTCCTAAAATGATTTGGGATCTTTTCTTTAGATTGAATAACAATATTTCATTGATTTGCAGGAAGACAGTCTTGGGTCATTTTCTAAAGAACTTGGTCAGCTGTTGCAACAATTTGAAGTAGAAGATGATGCAACAAGTCCATTAACAGCACCGCCTATCATGAGGCATGGTGATGCCACCTGCACATATGCAGTGCCAAACTCTGGAGGAGATGTGGAGGTCAATTTTCTCTTATATATCCTTCCTTCTTGCCAACCTTGTATTAAAATAAATTGGCAGCCAATTAAAATATAACTTGGGAAGCCAATGTTTGCTGAGTTATTGTTGTAAATCTAAAAGGATGAGTAGCAAGTTGGCTGAAATCTATGCCAGATTGCCATCATTACTTTTCACCTCTATTTTTATACAAACATGTTCTTATGCCTACGAACAAAAGAACCATTCACAACCTTTGCTTTTCTTTCACCTCAAGTCACTGAGAGATGAGAGCAACCTTTTAGAGTGCAGATTGTTCTGATTTCTGTTATCAAAAGAAAGAGAAATTAAACCTAATATTCAATCTCCCCAAAGTAAGGTTTGTTCAATATTATTATCCTTCTAATGTGCGATGGAGTTTGTTTTGATTCTAGGGAACAATAATTATGTAAGTGTTCTTAGGCGTTTTATTACAGTAACTTCATGACCGTTGGAAATCTCCACTCTCTGTGTAGCTAGCTATTAGATATGTGTTCCTATAGTTCTGCATGACATAACTCATATACTTGGTTTGTTTACAGGTTTGCTACTTGAATCATACACCCCAGCAACAATTTCAAGGTTTTCAGATTCATACACCTCAGCAAAATGATTTCGAAGGTTTCCAAAATCATATATCACAACATGGGTTTCCTGACCTTGACAATCATACACCACAGCATCACGAACTTCCAGGTTTTGTGAATCACACATCAGAGTCTCAAGACTATCAAGGCTTTGCGCATTGCAATAACGCTGCTACTAATATGCAAGGTGGAATGATCAATAACTTTGAAGCTTCAGGTCTGCACAATATGGTGCTTAATAACTTTAACATGTCTACTCAACTGGATGAACATCAGAATCTTGACAGTGAAATCTTTATCAGTGCCAGCGGCATTGAGAATTGGGGATTGAATGACATTCCTGATTTCTTGGGTGTATTGCCGAACGTCAACCCTCCGCCATCTGCTTTCTTAGGTCCAAAATGTGCTCTATGGGATTGCGTAAGACCTGCTCAGATGTCTGAGTTCTGTAAAAACTACTGTAGTGCCTTTCATGCTGAGTTGGCAGTAAAGGAATGCCCTCCAGGAACTGTACCTATCATGAGGCCTGGAGGTATAGGGTTGAAAGATGGTCCACTTTTTGTGGCTCTTAAGTCAAAGTTGGAGGGAAAAGATGTGGGCATTCCAGAATGTCTTGGGGCTGCTTCTGCAAAATCTCCATGGAATACTCCTGGTCAGCATGTTTAATGATTAGTTAGGCCTCTGCCTTGCCAAACCACAGATATTAGGATGAAATTCAATCAATTTATTATATTATGCTACATATGAAGTTGATATTTGTATATTCTGCTATCCTTTTTGTTTACTCATTTGGTCTTATTTGGGCTTGCAGAACTATTCGATGTTTCAATCTTGGAAGATGAAAAGATAAGAGAGTGGCTCTTTTTTGATAAGCCTAGAAGAGCATTTGAGACTGGAAACAGAAAGCAGAGGTCATTGCCAGACCACGAGGGGCGTGGTTGGCATGAGTCAAGGAAGCAGATTGCGAAAGAGTACAATGGCCAGAAGAGGTCTTACTATGCTGATCCCCAACCACAGAAGGACTTAGAATGGCATCTATTTGAGTATGAGATCGATAATTGCAATACTTGTGCATTGTACCGATTAGAACTAAAGGTTGCAGAGGAGAAGAAAAAGAGCCCAAAGACAAAAGTATCAAATGATCCCCTTGTTGATCTACAAAAGCAGATGGGTAGGCTCACTGCTGAAGGTTCGGCTGAGAACAAGCGCTCTGGGAAGGGCAAGGCAAAGGTCAGTATGAATTCAGACCATGGTCCAAATATTGTAAGTGAGACTAATGGATCCGGTGGTTCTTCTTAAAGACATTTTACTGAACAGGTTAAATCTAATTATTAACAGATACACTGACAAATTAACTTCTCATAGATGTAGTTAGCAGCTTCAGGGGCCTTTTTTCTTGTTTGGGGCCTTTTTTATTTAGTTTTTCTTTGCACATTAGGCTCTGTTCTTGTTAAGTTCTTTTTTATTGGATGTATAGTTGAACATATGGCTGAAACAACTTTGTACTCTTCCCTTGAAGAAACTGGTGGCTGGGGAGAGCAATACGCGTTTCACTTTTCTACTCTTCCAGATCTTCGCAAGATTTATATAGAAGGAAGCCAATATATTTTGTATTCGACAACATCACAGAAATTCCTCAAATCAAAGCGATGACTTTAACTCACACCAGAAGATATTATTACTCCTAATCTTTACCTTAGTAAGCAATTTGGCAAGTACTTTTTGATGCATCTAACAAGTCAATATAACTAATGTGAGTGAGCCCTCTATTTGAATTTTTTGAGGAGTGAAAGTTGTTTAGAGACATGAGTATCATTATTAGATAGGTAAAGTGGATACATGTAATGAGGGTAAGCCGCTATTAAAATTACAAGTGCTCGTAATGTTTAATTACTTAGCTATGGAAAAGAGGTAATATGTCATACTTCTCAATTTATCTATAGTAATTTCTATACCTTCGTTGATTTTTGACTTGTTTAATGAGTCAAGCTTGTCAATACACAAATTTAATAACTAATATCTTTAATTATTATTTTTGAACACAAAATCATAAATCATTGATATTTTGAAATACATATCGTGACGAATCTAACAATATCTCACAAGACTATATTTTGCATTACTTATAAATCAGAAAACATCAAAGAGAAGTGCGTGAATAGTACTAAAGTTAAAACTAAGGGTAAAAAAGTTTGGTTTACGGTTTGGTTTATAGCCCAAATCAAAACCAATTCATGTTAATTTGATTTGAGATTTTTTCAAACCAAACCAAATTACTAATTGGTCTAATCTAAACCAAACCATTTCTATCCCGTTTTAAAAAAATAAACCAAATCAAATTTTTGAACCAAGCGTATTGGGCCTAATTTTTAAAACTGAAATAAATCAAACAAAATGCTTACAATGTCATGCCTTAGCAAATTCAATTCCTAATAAAACATAAAAAAAAATGATCAACTGGGCAAACAATTAAAAGTTCTGGCTTATGTAATTTGGTTTTTATTAGGTTTCGATTTTTTATAAACCCCAAACCAAAAACAAACCATAAACCATATTTTTTAAATATTTCCAAACCAAATCGAACCATATTACAATCTAAATAAAACCAAATCAAATAAGTAAAGATTAGTTTTAAAAAATTGAATTACTTTCGAGCCCAAAAAAAATGTGTTAACTAAAAACAACAGAAGTAATAAGTAAAAATAGGGTGAACTAAACGTGGCTAATGCACGGGCTAAGTCGCTAAGGCCCAAAAGCTAGTACATAATTATACGGGTCCAAAACCAGTATTTGTCTTTCTTTTCCCCCCTCTTTCGCTCTCTCAGTTTCCCATTGAAGCGCACTCCAAGTTCTCCATTGAAGCGCACTCGCACTCCAAGTTTCTCCATTGAGGCGCCTTTTGATAATTGCATCCTCCATTGAAGCAGCTTCTGAGGTAAGTTGTTGTTTCTTTTTGTAATCATCGAATATCAATTTCACAATCTAGGGTTTATCTTGATTTAATTGTCAGTATAGTAAATTTAGGGTTCGAAATTTGAACTATTGGTTCTTATTACTTTGGTTATGAAAGATCATAACGAGCGATTATGTTGCCAAAGAAGAAAAGTTATGAGCCTGTTTTGATGATTGAATCGAATTATGAGCCTAAAATTATGCGATTATTCGAGCCTGATTTAATAATTGAATCAAATTTGGTTGCTAATTTGTTGCAGAACCTTTTAATGTTAGGATTGAACTATGAAATTGGACCTATTCCCTGGGCCCAGGACGGCCTCGCCTCCTGCCCTGGCTCAGGGATGGGACTAACCATAATTGGCTTGTGTTCGAGGTTTCGTGCTATTAGTTAACTTGTTTATTTGATACATTATCTGGATTATCCGAAAACAGGAGAAAAAAGAAGAATTTATAAGAGTTGTGTAAACCTTGAGCTGAAACTTTTTTTTTGGTTGATTTTGGTTGCAGATGGCAACCAGTCCAGAAACTCTGGAGTTTTTGTCAAAATGTTTTATGAACTCTCTCTCTCCTAACCATGAGCCTCGACGCCAAGCTGAGGCAAGTCTTGGTGAGGCAGCTGAGCAACCTAATTACGGGTTGGCTGTTCTTACTCTCATTCGTACGCCAGGCATTGGTGAGGAGATCCAGCAAGCTGCAGCTGTGAACTTTAAGAACTTTCTTAAAGCTCGATGGGCACCGGCAGCAAGGCGCTCTGAACCTAATGTTCCCTTGCCAAACCCTATTCCCGATACTGAAAAGAAGCTGATTAAAGAACACATTGTGTCTTTGATGTTGGAGTCAACACCTCGAATCCAATCTCAGCTTAGTGAGGCATTGGTGGTCATTGGCAAACATGATTTTCCTAGGCAGTGGACGGAGTTGCTTCCAATGCTCAATAGTAGGCTTCAGCAAGCACTCACCGAGGGTGGTAATTATGCAGCTATAAATGGGATTCTTGGGACTGCCAACTCATTGTTTAAGAAGTTCCGACATGGGTATGGGACAAATGATTTGAGGTTGGATTTAAGGTATTGTTTGGATAACATGGCTGTCCCATTGTTGCAATTGTTTTCCCATACTGCATCTCTGATCGACTCTGGTGTCAGTTCTGGTGCTTCCGCAGCAAATTTAAAGCCTCTATTTGAGTCACAGAGGCTTTGTTGTAGAATCTTTTATTCCTTCAACTTTCAGGAGTTGCCTGACCTCTTTGAAGATAATATGGAACCATTTATAAATGTATTTGGAAAATATCTAACTACTACATACCCAGCCCTTGAACAAGGAGGTGAGCAAGCTCTTGTTGATAATCTTCGTGCAGCTATCTGTGAAATATTGACCCTTTATGTCGAGAGGACCGAGGAGCCTTTTGAAAGATATGTGGGTGAATTTGAGAAAGCAGTGCGAAGCCTCCTTATCACCGTGTCTGGATCTCCAGGTCGTGATCATCTTGCGATAACTGCTATCAAATTCTTGACAATGGTCAGCACAATGGCACACCACTACAAGCTGTTTGATGATGCTTCTTTAGATCAGATATGTCGAAGCATTGTCATCCCAAATGTTATGCTGAGGGAAGAAGATGAAGAGCTCTTTGAGTTTAACTATATTGAGTTTATAAGACGGGATATGGAAGGGAGTGATGTTGACACTAAGAGGAGAGCTGCATGTGAACTTCTCAAAGGAATTGCAACTCACTACAGAGAGAAGGTTGCTCCCATGGTGAACAATGTCATACAGACCATGTTGGCTAAATGTAATGAGAATCCGGCTTTGAATTGGAAATACAAAGACTCTGCTATTTATCTGGTTATATCACTAAGCACTGTTAAAGCTACAGGCCCTAATGTCTTGACGGGCTGTTTTGATCTGCAATCATTCTTTACATTGGTGGTTGCTCCAGAGCTTCAGAGTCAAGATGTTAATTCATTTCCATTGCTCAAGGCAGGTGCACTTAAATTTTTGACAGTATTCAGAGATCAGCTTCCAAAGTCTAGTGTGATGTCCTTGCTTCCTGAAGTGTTACGATTTCTTGGTGCTGAGTCAAATGTGATTCACTCTTATGCTGCTATTTTCATTGACAAGGTTCTTTTGGTTAAAGATGAGGGGGGTAGAGCTAGATATGTTGCATCTGATATTGCACCTTTTCTCCCTGTGCTGTTGAATAACCTTTTTATTGCGCTGAAGTTTCCTGAATCTGAGGAGAACCAATATGTTATGAAGTGTATTATGCGGGTACTTGGTGTTGCGGATGTTTCTGGTGATGTTGCTGCTACTTGCATGTCTGGGATGGCTTCCATTCTTAACGAAGTGTGCAAGAACCCTAAAAACCCTATATTCAATCACTATTTATTTGAGGCTGTTGCTGTGCTTATTAGACGGGTGTGTGACAAGGACCCCTCTGTCATATCACTGTTTGAAACTAGCCTCTTTCCAAGCCTTCAGACAATTCTAACAAACAATGTCATTGAGTTCTTCCCATATGCATTCCAGCTCCTTGCACAGCTTGTTGAATTGAACAGGCCCCCGTTGCCACCACACTACATGCAGTTCTTTGAGCTTCTTTTGCTTCCTGATCTGTGGACCAAATCTGCTGATGTCCCTGCTCTAGTGCGTTTGCTTCAGGCTTTCCTTCGGATGGCTCCCAACGAACTTAACCAAGGTGGAAAGCTAGATGAGGTGCTTAATATATACAGCAAGCTTCTTCCTTCTTCCAGGACAGAGGAGCAGGCTTTTTTTGTGCTCAACACAGTTGTTGAGAACCTTGGGTACGAAGTGATTGCTGGGTATCTTCCGAAAATTTTGGTTTCGTTGTTTACCCGTCTCCAGACTAACCAGACCCCAAAGTTTGTTAGGTGCTTTATCATATTTATGTCTCTCGTAATAGTCAAGCATGGTTGGAATAATCTTGTTGATGCCTTTGACCGTGTACAGCCTGGTATTCTTCTAACAATTTTGGAGGTGTTCTGGGTTCCAAATCTTAAGCAGATCACAGGTGCCACTGAGACTAAGCTAACTGCAGTGGCTTCAACAAAACTCTTGTGTGAATGTCCTGCCCTTCTAAAACCCGAATCTTCTAAAATTTGGGGTAAAATGTTAGATAGCATTGTTACGCTTGTTACCAGACCAGAGGAAGAGAGAGTAGAGGAAGAATCTGAAGTTCCAGATTTTGCTGAGACAGGAAGCTATTCTGCTACATTTATTCGCCTTTATAATGTCAATAAAAGAGATGATGATCCGCTCAAAGAAATTAAAGATCCAAAGCAGTTTTTGTTAGCCTCTTTGAGAAATCTTTCGGACTTTTCCACTGGGAGATATGGACAAGTTATCAGTGAGAATGTAGATCCGGCCAATCAAGCAGCACTGTCTCAGCTTTACAGCACTTTGACCACTGCCTAATATGAGCAAGTAATGTTTCCAAATTCCTTTCTTTTATTTTGGGGGTTTAAATGACTATGAATGATTACGTCTCTTCTATTGCTTGCTGTAATTGAATTGCTTCTCTTGTTGATTTCGTTGTATCATGACTGTTCTGCTAACGTGTGAGATTCTTCTTTATATCGTCTTAAATGACCTTTAGGCTCTATGTAAAGGCTTTTATTTGTTCTTGATATATATATATATATATATTT